ATAGACCACCCAAATACTGTGCAAGCTTTTTTTGATGACTTTACTGAACTGCTGTCTATAGTGTGTATTGACTTTGACCGTCTAGTCATTGTTGGTGATTTTAACATCCATGTTGACAACCCCCAGGACAGAGGGGCTAAAGAACTGTTTTGTGTTCTTGATAGCTATGGACTGACTCAGCATGTGACGGAGCCCACGCACAATAAGGGGCACACTCTGGACTTAATTATCTCAAAGGGTCTGAATATCTCTAAGGTTGTGGTGACTGATGTTGCACTCTCTGACCATTCCTGTGTTTTCTTTGAGAGCTCTATTTCTGTTCACAAAAATGTTCAAAAAGAGGTAACCACAAAGCGATATTTAACTGAAAACACTAGGGAAATGTTTACTCAGAATTTCTCTTCCACACTTGCCCCTGCCAACATCTCAGTAAATGAGCTAGTAGATCATTTTAATTCAAAAATTAAAAATGTTATAGATTGCCATTGCTCCAACTAAGGTAAAGGAAGTGTCTGGCAAGAAAATATCTCCATGGAGAAAGGCCATGACCGTGAAAACAGAAAAAAGAGAATGTCGAAAAGCTGAACGCAGGTGGCGAAAAACAAATCTCCAGGTTCACTTTGAAATCTATAAAGAGAGACTTGGCCTCTATAATTTGGAATTGAAAAACGCACGACAATCGTTCTTCTCTGACATCATTACCAAAAACAAAAACAACGCACGTGCCTTGTTTGCTACCGTCGACAGACTAACTAACCCCCCAGTGTCAGTAGCCTCTGAATTTCTATCCACCAGGGCGTGCAATGATTTTGCCTCCTTTTTCACTGACAAAATTCAGAAAATCAGACAAGCAGTCAGTGCCTCTGCATCAGGAACAGTAAATGTGTTGTCCCTATCTCCACTTAACATCAATTCAGACATCATGACACAATTCCATCAGATTAATGATAAAAACCTAGAGGACATTATTCAACTTCTGAAATCCTCCTCCTGCTGCCTTGATATTATTCCAACAGGATTTTTCAAAGATGTTTTGCCTTGCATGGCCTCAGATCTACTTCATATAGTAAACAAATCTCTTCACTCAGGTATTTTTCCACAGGCCCTGAAAACTGCAGTCATTAAACCGCTCTTAAAAAAGAATAATCTAGATGCTTCAGTAATGAACAATTACAGGCCCATATCAAACCTCCCATTTCTAGGTAAAATCATTGAAAAAGTTGTTTTTCAACAGTTGAGTAATTTCTTGCATTTAAATGACTGTTTTGATGTGTTCCAGTCAGGCTTTCGTCCAAACCACAGCACTGAGACTGCTCTTGTAAAGGTCTTTAATGACATCCACTTAAACACAGACAGTGGCAGAACTTCAGTGTTAGTATTATTAGATCTCAGTGCTGCGTTTGACACTGTTGACCACAGCATATTACTAGACCGACTGGAGAACTGGGTGGGACTTTCGGAAACAGTTCTGAATTGGTTTGAATCCTACTTAAAGGACAGAAACAACTTTGTTTCTATAGGTAAATACACATCTGAGTTGACAAATATGACATGTGGGGTTCCTCAAGGCTCCATCTTGGGGCCTCTTCTCTTTAACATCTACATGCTACCACTGGCTCAGATAATGAAGAACAACAAAATAAGTTACCATAGCTATGCAGATGACACACAAATTTACGTAACAATTTCACCAGGAGACTATGCTCCAATTCAAACACTGAGTAAGTGCATTGAACAAATCAATGACTGGATGTGTCAGAACTTTCTCCAATTAAACAAAGATAAAACTGAGGTAATGGTTTTTGGAGCCAAGGCAGAACGTATAAAAGTTAGCGCTGAGCTTCAGTGTGCAATGTTCAAAACAACAGATAAAGCCAGAAATCTAGGTGTAGTCATGGACTCTGACCTGAGTTTCAACAGTCACATTAAAACTGTTACTAAATCAGCCTACTATCACCTAAAGAATATATCTAGGATTAAAAGACTAATGTCACAGCAGGATTTGGAAAAACTTGTCCATGCTTTTATCTTCAGTAGACTCGACTACTGCAATGGTGTCTTCACAGGTCTCACTAAAACATCTATTAGGAAGCTGCAGCTAATTCAGAACGCTGCTGCTCGAGTCCTCACTAACACTAAGAAAGTGGATCACATCACTCCTGTTCTGAAGTCTTTACACTGGCTTCCTGTGTGTCACAGAATAGATTTCAAAATACTGCTGCTGGTTTATAAAGCACTGAATGGTTTAGGCCCAAAATACATTTCTGACCTCCTGCTAAATTATGAACCATCCAGATCTCTCAGGTCTTCAGGGACTGGTCAGCTTTCTGTCCCCAGAGTCAGAACTAAACATGGTAAAGCAGCGTTCAGTTATTATGCTCCAAATATCTGGAACAAACTCCCAGAAACCTGCAGGTCCGCTGCAACTCTGACTACTTTTAAATCCAGGCTGAAGACTTTTCTTTTTGTTGCTGCTTTTAATTGAACTATTCATATCTTAGACTGCACTGTAACTTTTATCCATGTACTTTTTTCTTTTAATGTTTAATTGACAGCACTGTAACTTGTATCCATGTATTTTTTCTTTTAATGTTTATTTTATTAGCTTTTCTTTTTAATGACTGATTTTAAATGCCATTTTCTTAATCTCTTTCATTTTTTGTAAAGCACTTTGAATTGCCTTGTGTTGAAAAGTGCTATATAAATAAACTTGCCTTGCCTTGCCTTGCCTTGCACAAGCCCAGAGAAGACCACTATCTTGAAGGCGTACGAGAGGATCCAGCACCGGGTTTTGGTGGACGATCCCGTCTTGTCTCAAGCAGGCTTTCTGCTGCCAAAGATAAACATTAAGACGGTGCGTGACTTTATCTGCGCTCAAGAATGCCTCCTCAACCTGCGTGCGACCAACCAGCCAGCGATGCTCTCAAAGAGCACTTCCGTTTCCTCTGCCCACTTGCCTCCAGCGCCACACCAGCCAGCAGTCCTCCCTCCACCAGACTACCCACTGATGCAGCACGTGCCGACACCCAGCACGGCAGGGACCAAGTCATTGAAGGGAAGGAGGGACATGATCATACCTCTCTCACACCCTCAGATATCACTGCCAGCTGTGTCACTGCCACCAACCCCAGCCCTTTGCCCTCCCCCTCTCCATCCACAGCAATCCGGCGATTGCTGGCCCCTCCACGAGGCCCATCGTGCCTGCCATTGCTGGACGTCCCATACTGCCTGCCACCAGTACCATCGCCAGACCTGTGCCCTCCCTTTTCCCTGGCCCCATCCTGCCTGCCAGTCAGCCAACCCCAGCCATTGCTAGCCCCTCCTCAATGCCCTTACTGCCTGCCATTCAGGCAACCCCGTCTGCTGATGTGTCTGTCCCCACTACTCTCGAGTGCATTCCCTCATCCTGGGCAAGGTCCACGCTTGACAAGCGCAAGGGGATGGACGAGCCCTCGGGAGTAGGAGCCAAAGTGTCCCGTGTTCAAAAGCTGCCGTTGTGCACGTGCTGTGGCCAACCCACCCAGGGGCACAAAAAGTACAGGCGCAAAGTCTTCTGCCCTGTGAAGAAGATGTCTCCATCAAAGTGTCTAGAGAACACAGTTTACAACAGTTACCAACATGTTACAGCTGTTATGTAAATATTGTAAATAGTCATTTAAATATTTTTCAACTTGCTGTGTTATCATTTTTATTTTTCATGTTGAGTTTTATATGTATTATGTATATTGTAAATATATGTACATCATTAATGTAAATTGTTTTATGTACATTACATGTTCGACGCTTTTATCCAAAGCGACTTACATACTCAATACTGTGGGGTGAAGTGTCCCAGGGACACAACGACATGCTGACTGCAGTGGGGTTTGAACCTGTGCTCCCCTGATCCCAACACCAACGCACTGCGCCACGGCCTCCCTGTACATAATTGTACATCTGATGTGTATCCACTTGAGCTTTTTTACCTGTGTTTATGTTGTTGCTGTTGCCATCCTTTATACTGAGTCAATGAAGGTGAATGGTTGCTCAGGAAAAGTCCTAAAGAATCCAACTGGGTTCAATAGCTGGATCATTCCTGTTCTTCGTCTGCAGTGGAGTGAGATCTCGTTGTTGTTGTTGACTTGCATAACAACAAATGTTAGTTTACAAGAAGTCTCCTAACATTTGATTCATACCTGCTGATGACAAATAAATCCTGGGATCTACAAAAGTGAATGTGTTTCAAAGCATCTGATTTGTATCCACTTGAGCTTTTGTACCTGTGTTTACCTTAGTTTATGCTGTTGCCATCATTTATACTCAATCAATTAAATATTTTGCCAGAAAGGTCAAACTTTAGGAATACAGAGCAGTTCCTATCATGCCATAACCATAGCCGTGGAGGCAGTGCCAACTAAAATATAATATTGGTGACAAAACACAGAGCCATCAGTGCAATTGTTACATTCAAATTTCTCTGATATTGTAGGCGTTAATTATCTATTTATTATATGTAAATACTTTGATGTACATAATTTAACTGTAAAACTGGTGTTTTCAATTGAATGCACTTTATACAATAAAGTGGTCAGTGCTACAGTAACAGTGAGTCGTGAAATATGAATTATTGAATGGTGATTAATTTGTTTATCTAAATATATGGACAAAGGTAGAGTGCCACATTACTTGCACAGTACACAATGTTCAGATGACTTTGCCCAAAAGCAAACATTTAAGTTGCTTGAGTCAGACTCAGAAATATTAAAACACTTTTAAAATCAGACTCTTGAGTCATAAGGAAATCCATAAAGATATCTCACGGAAGAAAAGACACATTTGAATGAAATAAGCTTTATTTCAATGAGACTTCAATTCAGAAAGACTCTTAACATATAACTACAGCTCTCAGGACATCAGGAGGAGGAAACAGCTGGCTTGGTTCTTCAAAACAATGTAGTGTGCATTCACTCGTGGACTTTAAAGGTGAATACTTTGAGAAAACGTCTTCCCACACTCTTCACACCACTATGGTTTTTCTCCTGCGTGAATACGTTGATGGATTTTGAGAGCACCTAATTGAGTGAAAGTTTTCCCACACTCTTCACACCAGTACGGTTTTTCTCCTGTATGAATACGGTGATGTATTTTGAGAGCACCTGATGTAGTGAAAGTTTTCCCACACTCTTCACAGCTGAACGGTTTTTCTCCTGTATGAATACGGTGATGTGATATGAGAACACCTAATTGAGCGAAAGTTTTCCCACACTCTTCACAGCTGTACGGTTTTTCTCCTGTATGAATACGGTGATGTGATATGAGAGCACCTGATCTAGCGAAAGTTGTCCCACACTCTTCACAGCTGAAAGGTTTTTCTCCTGTATGAATACGTTGATGTCTTTTGAGATGACTTGATTGAGTGAAAGTTGTCCCACACTCTTCACAGCTGAACGGTTTTTCTCCTGTATGAATACGTTGATGTGATTTGAGATGACTTGATTGAGCGAAAGTTGTCCCACACTCTTCACAGCTGAACGGTTTTTCTCCTGTATGAATACGTTGATGTGATATGAGAGCACCTGATTGAGTGAAAGTTGTCCCACACTCTTCACAGCTGAACGGTTTTTCTCCTGTATGAATACGTTGATGTGATTTGAGATGACTTGATTGAGCGAAAGTTGTCCCACACTCTTCACAGCTGAACGGTTTTTCTCCTGTATGAATACGTTGATGTCTTTTGAGATGACTTGATTGAGCGAAAGTTGTCCCACACTCTTCACAGCTGAACGGTTTTTCTCCTGTGTGAATAAGCAGGTGGCTCTTTAAATTTCCAGTTGTTGTAAAGGATTTGTCACATTGCTGACAGCTGTGACGTCTCTCTTTTCCTTTCGGTTTCTAGAACAGACGGACAGAGAAAGAGAGAAAGTCAATCTAAAAAGCATAAATACACAAGTTAACACAATAAAAACTCACCTAATATAAACCTTGAGTTAACAAAATACTACTTATCAACCGTTTGTGTTTATTATATTTGATACAGTAATACAGCAATATTCTAACCACAGTATATACCAGAGGTGGGGGACTCGAGTCACATGACTTGACTCGAGTCACATGACTTGAGTCGCATATTTTTTGACTTGAGACTTGCTTGACTAACATTGATAAAAGACTCGACTTGACTTTGACTTGGTATTCATGACTTGAGACAAAGGACTTTACTTTTTAAAATAAAATATTTGCATTTGTATTGTACGAAGCCCCTAGAGGGCAATGAAGAAAAAAAAGAGAAAGTATCTCGTTCGCAGGAGAAAGTAGGAAGTGGAGCGCACAGGAGACAGCCGTTTCATTGCAGACTGTTATGTTTATGTGGGGAAATACATACATTATTTGAGATATATATTTCAAACTCGGACTTCAGTTTAGGGACATTTCGGCCAGGGGTGTAGAGTTATTTGTTCAAGCACCGGATCGGCAAAACAGGAGAGTCTGTGAACCAGTCTGCCTTGACCTATGTATTCATGTCTGTGACTCTCACAGTATCTGCTGCCCACAGCTGCTTTATAGAAGAAAACCTCCTTCACTTCATGAAATCTCTGCGGCACCAGGAGGCAGTAACGTGTGACTCAGCAGAATCTGAGAAGAGCAGCAGCAGCTGCAAAGAGCTGTGCCTTCACTGTGTGTACCTTCATTAGAACAGCTAAAGAGCGACCGCAGGACTTCCGGTGACGTCATGGGAGAAGCAGCAGCTTAGAAGTGGAGCTCCGCCAGACTATACACAAAAATAGAGACAACTAGTAATATAAGACGTTTTAAAAAATAAGAAAGAGCACTCCTGCATGATGAGCTCGTCAACCAGAAACAAAGCCCCCAACAAACAAGATATCTCAAAGGAAAAAAACGATAAACAACGGAGACCGGCCAGCCCAGCTAGCGCTAGCTTGACAACAGATAGCAACATGTGCGAGTCGGACCATGAAGTTACGTTGATGGGTGAGCTGGGGAATCTCCGCAAGGAAAATCAAGAGGGGCATAATCAAACAAAAATGTCTCTAGATCGACAGAAACAGACGGTGCTAGATATAAAAGTTCAAATGGGCGAACATGAAGGGAGGATTGGAAAGTTGGAGGACAGAGTCGGCATGGCCGAGGACGTAGCGGTGCGGCATCAGAGGGCGCTCCGATACCTGATCCACCGTGATATTGCCCTCTCAGCCACCTGCGACGACTTGCAGAATAGACTGAGAAGAAATAATGTGAGAATCTTTCAGGTACCAGAGGGGAGTGAGGGAGGAAACATGGCAGAATTTATTAAAGAACTGTTACACAAGGTGCTTAAAATACCATCACTAACGGATATTAAGATAGAGAGCACACCGCTCGCCCCCGTTTACGCCACATAGAGACCCGACAGCCCCTCCAAGACACATCATCGTGAGATTTTTGGACGCAGCGGTTAAAGATCTGGTGATACGACAGGCATGGAGTCAGGGACAGGTCTCCTTCAAAGATAAAAGGATATTTTTTGATCAAGATTACTCTCCGAGTTACACAAGAAGCGGGCAAAGGTGCACGAAGTCATCAAGCAGCTAAAAAAGAAGGACATACTGGCGAGGTGTATATACCCAGCGCAGTTAAAACTCAAGCTGGGCTCTGTTCTGCACACAGTAACATTAAAGAGAGAATGGGTGGATCAGATCTATAGTGCATCATGTGGGAAGAGTAAAAAACGAGGAGTAGCTATTTTAATTAACAAATCAGTAAACTATAACAATGAGAAAGTCCTCCAGGATATTGAGGGTCGTTATGTTATGGTAATTGGAACAATAGCTGGCCTAAAAATAACTATCTTAAATGTGTATGCACCAAATGAAGACTGCGATTTCCATCCATCTTCTCCAGCTTATCCGTGGTCGGGTCGCGGGGGTAGCAGTTCCAGCAGAGAGCCCCAAACTTTCTTTTCCCTGGCGACATCAACCAGCTCTGACTGGGGGATCCCAAGGCGCTCCCAGGCCAGCGAAGAGATATAATCCCTCCACCTGGTCCTAGGTCTACCCCTTGGTCTCTTCCCAGCTGGACGTGCCTGGAACACCTCCCTAGGGAGGCGCCCAGGTGGCATCCTAACTAGGTGCCCGAACCACCTCAACTGGCTCCTTTCGACGCGAAGGAGGAGCGGCTCAACTCCGAGTCCCTCCCTGATGACCGAACTTCTCACCTTATCCCTAAGGGAGACACCAGCCACCCTGCGGAGAAAACCCATCTCGGCCGCTTGTATCCGCGATCTCGTTCTTTCGGTCATGACCCATCCTTCATGACCATAGGTGAGCGTAGGAACGGAAATGGCCCGGTAGACAGAGAGCTTTGCCTTCTGGCTCAGCTCCCTTTTCGTCACAACGGTGCGGTAAAGCGACTGCAGTACCGCTCCCCCTGCTCCGATTCTCCGGCCCATCTCACGCTCCATTGTTCCCTCACTCGAGAACAAGACCCCGAGATACTTGAACTCCTTCACTTGGGGTAAGGACTCATTCCCTACTTGAAGTGGACAGTCCATCGGTTTCCTGCTGAGAACCATGGCCTCAGATTTGGAGGTGCTGATCCTCATCCCAGCCGCTTCACACTCGGTTGCGAACCGATCCAGTGAGTGCTGAAGGTCGCAGACCAATGAAGCCATTAGAACCACATCATCTGCAAAAAGCAGTGGTGCAATCCTTAGTCCACCGAACTGCAGACCCCCTCCCCCATGACTACGCCTCGAAATCCGATCCATGTATATTACAAACAGGATTGGTGACAAAGCGCAGCCCTGGCGGAGGCCAACCCTCACCGGAAATGGGTCCGACTTACTGCCGAGGACCCGGACACAGCTCTCGCTTTGGGAGTACAGAGATTGGATGGCCCTGAGTAGAGACCCCCTCACCCCATACTCCAGCAGCACCTCCCACAGTAACTCCCTGGGAACTCGGTCATACGCCTTCTCCAAGTCTACAAAACACATGTAGACCGGATAAGCGTACTCCCAGGCCCCCTCCAGGATCCTTGCGAGAGTAAAAAGCTGATCCGTCGTTCCACGACCAGGACGGAATCCGCATTGTTCCTCCTCAATCTGAGGTTCGACAATCGGCCTGACCCTCCTTTCGAGTACCTTAGAGTAAACTTTCCCGGGGAGGCTGAGTAGTGTGATGCCTCTGTAATTGGCACACACCCTCTGATCCCCCTTTTTAAAAAGGGGGACCACCACCCCGGTCTGCCACTCCTTCGGTACTGTTTCCGACTTCCACGCAACGTTGATGAGACGTGTCAACCATGACAGTCCCTCAACACCCAGAGCCTTCAGCATTTGGATGAGACTGCGATTTATTTATTTTAAAGATTGCAGCCCTAGTGGCAGATAATGGAGGGAATAATAATCATAGGGGGACTTCAATTGCACATTGAACAACAAAATGGATAGATTACCCGTAACAATAAGACCCCTGCCTAAAATGTCCAGAAATGTCTTAAACATGATGAAGGAGCTGGGATTAGTTGATATCTGGCGACACCTACACCCAAATGACAAAGACTTTACGTTCATGTCCCATGTACATGGAAGTTATTCAAGAATAGATTACTTTTTGGTGTCGAAAACGGATACATACCGGATAAAAAAATAGTGTAATTGAACCAATAACAATCTCAGACCACAGTCCTGTCTCTATGAAAATTAATCTGGGGTTAGATAAATGGTTTAAGTACTGGAGACTTAACGTCTCACTATTGGCAGATAACCGGATAAAACAGGAAATACGTTCTGCAATATCTGAATACTTTGCCTTGAATGATAATGGTGAGGTCTCCCCCTCGGTGCTATGGGATGCTGGTAAGGCCACGATTAGGGGCAAAATTATTTCTATAGGATCTAAATTAAAGAAACAAAGACTGGCGAAACAACAAGAATTGGAAACAGAAATTAAAAGATTAGAGAGGGAACATAAGACATCTAGAAAAGAGGAAGTACTCAAAAAGTTGAAGGAAGTTAGAATCAAGCTAGATGCAGAATTAACTTCCAAAGCAGAGGGAGCCCTCAGGTTCATAAATATCTCCACTCCTTTAATAACCGCCTGCGTCCGGACTGCATGGACATCCTCGCAGATAATGAAATACTCCGCAAACGCCGTCCTCCACACAGAGGCTCTGGCCGTACGTTTTTATTTCATTCCACGTCTCCACACTCCATCCCGTCCATTCGGTCCTGTCACACGCCCACACTACACCATCACAACAAACAACACATGCATCTGACCAATCTCCTTCCACTCCCCCGGTCCACACAACCCCCCCCAATGCAACGTCACCTCAGAGCAGCCCTGCTCAACATACGCTCCATCCACAATAAAAGCCACATTCTAAATGAATTCATTAAAGACAATAACCTGGACTTTCTGTATCTGACCGAAACATGGCAAAAACCCCTGGACTATTTTTCTTTAAATCAAATCACCCCAGCAGGATTCACATACATTGACAAACCTCGCCCACAAGGGCGGGGTGGTGGTATAGCTGCTATTATCAGAAAGGACATAAAGGCTACCATAATCCCCGTCCCTGATGTTTCTTCATTTGAACACCTGATCTTTAAACTCTCTGGTCCCACTCCCCTGGTCACAGCCATCATCTACCGTCCCCCGAAGCCAAACCCCTCCTTTCTCTCCGACCTCTCTGACATTCTCACTCAGCTTTCTGCCATATCCCCATCTGTTCTCCTCTTAGGTGATTTTAACATTCATGTTGACGACCCGACCTGCAAATATGCCTCTGAATTTAAGGAAACCCTTCACTGCTGCAACTTCTCTCAACACATCAACTTCTCAACACACAGCCGTGGTCACATCCTGGACTTGGTCTGCTCCACTGGT